TTCCAAACCAGGCAGGCAATCTAGCTCCATACCCACTACACTATACTGACTTCTATAATGTTTTCTGAAGGACCCCCCCCCAAAAGGAATATAAAAGGTCAGATCTCCCAACAGCAACACTAAAAGTTGTAATACAATGTGGCATTGTTTTCAAAATTCTCAGGAGAAAGTATTTCCTATGTAGAATTCTGTGAACAGGCAAGCCTTCAATCAGGTGTAAGTATAGCTTCAGATATTTTCAGAAATTTAGTGTTACCTGTGCTGTGTCCTTTCTTGGGAATAACTAGAATGCAATAATTTGGAAGACCACTCCAGGGCAAAAGCCGAGAGCAGTTCCCTGATGATGCTTGCCCAGCATGCTCAAGACAGCAGCTGGTCCAGATCAAAGCAAGGCAGGTGGCTACTGCAGTATTATCTTCAGAAAAAAAGAGAGAAAGAAAGTAGTGGCTTATCTGATGTTTTTGGCAAGGGGTAGAATAGTATCAAGAGATTTTGTATCAGCCTTTCAGTGCTGTAAAGAAGAAACAGTTGTAAGTGCATTAGAAAATGAAGTCAAAGAAAAGGGGGCAGAGGGCGCCTGGGTGGCTCAGTCATTAAGTGTCTGCCTTCGGCTCAGGTCATGATCCCAGGGTCCTGGGATCGAGTCCCGCATTGGGCTCCCTCCTCAGTGGGGAGCCTGCTTCTCCCTCTCCCACTCCCCCAGCTCGTGCTTTCTCTCTCTGTCAAATAAATAAATAAAATCTTTAAAAAAAAAAAAGAAGAAGAAGAAGAAGAAAAGGGGGCAGAAATGTGAAATGAAGGGTCATTATCACAGTACAACTCAAGTGCGGATGATACCGAATGTGGATTTACTCAGAAGTATGAAAGATTTGTGAATTTAACTGTAGCAAGATTGAGAAGAGGGAAAAGAAGACATCAAATTGTTAACTTGTTACCTTCCCTAAGGGAAAGGTGAGTGATAATGTCTAGAATGGAATAAATCAAGAAATAGCGGCATAAACATAGTATTTAGATAGAAGCAGATAAATAGCAGAAGAGGTGTTTAAAGCGATTAACTGGAGTTGGACTCAGGATTGGGGAAGAATTGAGTGAGGGACTGCTGCTTTTATTATAAGACCTGTAGTATTAGTAGAATTTTAAAAATATGTACTTTTAATTGAGTGAAAATAGAAAGGGAAATTTAACGATTTAACTATAAGAATTAGTTTGGCTTTAGTTTGCTCCCCTCAAGACTTTCTTCAAGAAGTCAGTTTTAGGAGAAGGGTTTAAAAATAAACCTAATCTAACTTGATGTTGAAGAGAAAAGCATACCATCCAAGTGAATGAGCAGAATATCTGGGAAGTGAGGACCTTGTCAACTGATTGGGACGTCTGGAGTAAAGAGAACTGTAATGTGTTGTGGGATTAATGAAGCTTGAAGCTGGGAACTCCACTTAGATTAGAACTGGCTAGAGTGCCAAATATAGCTGAGGTTCAACAAAAGACAAGTGCTCATGATGGGTTTATGAAGCCATGTGGCACCGTAAAAACAATCATATCTGTGTGCTCTCAAATCTATGCTGCCACAAGGAGAAATGTGAATTAGAAGCTGTTGTCTTCCCAGCAATCAACTCAAATACCAACCCTATCGGCTTCTTTTTTTCAGTTTTATGAAATGGGTGTATTTAGGGCCAAAGAAGTAGAATCTTAGATGAGACCTTTAAAAAGGTAGGCATGGCCTGCTCTGTCTGAGCCTTCAAGTTCCTGTTGGAATTTACTAAGAAATGGAAATTTTTTGCCATCCCAGACATCTGAGTGGTATTACTGTGGAAAGGATTCATATCCGATCCCTTCCTCCCTCCAGCCCTTCATACTCTCTCTCTCTCTCTTTCAAACACACACACACACACACCCCCTATGTAATTAGGTTTGAGGTTTAATCCCCTGTAATCATATGAATTTTATACAATGTGGTCCCTTGGTTTATGCTTAAAAATAAAATTCCCAGGTCCCATCCCAGATTTCTCCGTGATGTCCATAAAAGAGACCATGCCGAATCTTTCCAAAGTTGAAAACAAACAAACCAAAAACAAATCCAAGTGCACTCATTACTCTGGTAAGAGTCTGCTCCTAAGAAAAATTGTAAAGATTTTATTTAGTGATGCAATCACGTTAACATTTTCCTTAGGGCTTTGTGCCCTGTTTTCCTAACAAAAGATCAGCTCTTTGCAAAGATGCTCCTAACATCAGCTTTCAAAAGAAATGAAAGAAACTTCTAAAATACCAGGAGGGAAGAAGGGAAGAGCCTGCTGTGTAAGACTCCAGTGACCTCATTTGAAAAGTAATTTCATGTGTTAGAAAGGTAATTCTCCCCTCATCTGTGTGACAACTTAACACGAATCTAACAGATTTATCTATCAACTTGGACAAATTACAATAGCCACAAGGAGTGTTGGCAATTTAGGTACATTTGAGAAGATGTGAATATATGGGGTGCATTTTTTTCTTTTCCATAATCTTGGGATTCTTGGAAAAAACCATCATATTCTGTCATTCAGGGGACCTGCCAAAGTGAAGGCTTTTGAGTGTCTTTTTATTGGAATTCTGTCTTTGACTTGCTATGTATGAATTACCTACTTGGGATGAAATAATACCGAAATTACTGATGACCAGCAGCAGCATAAATCAGTGTGATGGTAGCAGGGGCTGTGGCTTTTGACACGAATCAATAGGTGGGTCTCACAGAAATAGCAGCATCAAATCCATACAGTGGTGTAGCCACTGTGGAAAACAATATGGAGTTTCCTCAACAATTAAAAATAGAACCCCCTCATGACCCAGCAATCCCACTTCTGGGTATAGACAATGAAAATGAGATATTGAAGAGAGATCTGCATTCTCGTGTTCATTGCACCATTATCCACAATAAGACATAGAAATAACTGAAGTGTCCATCAATGGATGGATGGATAAAGAAGATGTGGTATATAAAGACATAAATACACACACACACACAAGTGCACGTGCACGAGAATATTATTCAACTGAGAAAGAAGGAAATCCTGCCATTTGCAACAACATGGTGGACCTTGAGGGCATTATGCTAAGTGAGATAAGCCAGACACAGAAAGACAAATGCTGTATGGTATCACTTACATGTGGAATCTAAATTAAAAAAAAAAAAAAAAAAAGTCAAACTCATAGAAACAGAGAGTAGAAGAGTGGTTGCCAGGGTTTGTGGAGTGGAAGAAATAGGGAGAAGTTGGTAAAAGGTACAGACTTTTCATCCATAAGATGAATAAAGTCTGAGGATTTGTTTAATATGGTGACTATAGTTGATAATGCTGTATTGTATAATTAAAATGTGCTAAGATAGTAGAACGTAAATGTTCTCAACAGAAAAATTTAAAAGTGAATAAATGAAAGATAAATTTGTGAGGTGATGAATGTGTTAATGAGCCAGATGGGGGAAATCCTTTCACAATGTATACGCATATCAAATCACCACAATGTACGCTTTTAAAGATCTTAGAATTTTGTCAATTATACCTCAATCAAGCTGACATTTAAAAAGGAAATAAACTGGTAGACTCAAAGAAATGAAGGGGAAAAGAAGAAGTAGAAAACCAGTATCTAATCTTAAAATGTATGTCTGGCCCTAGAATATCTTAATAAACCTAATGTTGTCACCTAATATAAAAAATGTTCCCTGGGCTGGGCTGAAGTTGGCACCATGTTTTCACACAAATCTCTGAGGGCATCTGTCTCTCAGAGCTCTCTTGGCTCCTTATCGCTTTTCCCACATGGAATCATGAATTCATGAAGCATGGGCTGGTAAAAAAGAAAAACACTTCACACATTATCTCATGCTTTGCTCTATCCAATAATGGGTCAACCAGTTTCGCTTGATTAATTCAAAAGATAGAGAGCCGTGTTGTACACAGCACCTTAATCCACTTTCAGGGAGCGCTAATTGTTGTTTTTATTTTTTTGTCTGTCAAAATCTTTCTTTTTGTTTGTAACTCACCAGTTCTAGTGCCCTGCTCTTGAGCCCTGACTCTTGAAACCAGGTAATGTGCACCTCCCTCTCCATGTACCCATATACTCAACTATTCCATCCATCTCTTGCTTAACATAGAAATGTTTGGCATTATTAACATTTCAAAATCCTGGGTAATCTGTACAATTAGTCTCAGCATACTGTAGGAAAACAGGTTTTGTTCTTTTTTCCTCAGAGTAGTACCTCTCAGTTCACCACTCCAGAAGCTCGCCCTCGCCTGCTTTCCCCTCTGCTCCCACGCTCATCAGCATCACAGTGTGGTAATGAGGATGACCTGGAGGCGAGAGCTTCAGAATGCTCCTTCCACACATCTACCAGCATCTGCCTGGCCACTCCAAGGCTCTGTTGGTCTTAAACCCACTTTCCGACAGGGGCTAAAGCACCCTCGTAAAGGAGAAGTCAGAAATATTTTTGTTTGGCTGAATTCTAAACACCTGGGCATTTATTTGCTTTGTTTTGCTGTTAACTTTATAATTCATCAAATGTTCCCAAGGACACTTTTCCCATGTCTTTGAAATGTAATTACAGTTTACCACATTGAATGGCATCTTCATGAGGACCTCTTTTGAAAGATGAAATGAAGTCCCTGATGTGTATTCTTTGCGTGTTGGGGGGGGTCGCATGGAGCATACTGTAATGTACTGATATAATATCAACAAGAGCAATACTCTTGTTCACTTGTGATCTTTGAAAAAAAACAACAAACAACCTTTAGCCAAATATAAAACTAATTTTTGGAGGGGATTATTCTCTGAGGAATTACTGACATTTTTATGCTGCAAAGGCATTGAGTTCTCAAAAATAACAGTAGGGCTTTTTTAAACCCTTGACAAGAAGTCCCAGAGGAAATTGAAGTAAGCAATCTAGATGAGAGCACAGATTTCATTACTTTATTAATCAAATAAACAAACAAAAAGCTGAGTCATCATAATGACTACCAGGCATATGCCCAGTTCAGTAAAATTGGACTCTTCCCTCTAGTCCTTAGAAAGAAACTGGAAGTTAATCCGGGATGAAGGCCTTGCAGTGATGGATAAAGCCAAAGGCCTCTTCCTGCCTGAAGATGAAAACCTGAGGGAGAAAGGCGACTGGAGCCAGTTTACACTGTGGCAGCAAGGTGAGCTTCTGACTTCTAGATTGTTCTCTGCAGCCAATGACCTGATGGGAAGAAGGCTCAAGTCTTCCCAAGATATTTCCCAGAGCTGGAATTCCCCAACTTAAAGGAAACTGCCCAGAAAAAAATATATTACCGAAATCTGTCGTTTCTTAAAACTACACGTGAACACTTATTTGTGTGTGTGTGTGCACATGTAAATATATATGTGTGTGTGTATGTAGGTGTACTCACATGTGTATTTGGATAAATATATATAAACAATACTTTGATTTTCCTGGTGTTTCCCATTAAATGGTAAGTTACAAAGAGTAACCCTACTGTGTAGGCTTAACCAAAAAGCCCACCGTGTGCTAATCACTATCTTAGAAAGGACCTCCCCTGAGCCTCATTTGCTCCATAGCATAGAGACAGTGTTGCCCGCCAAAATGGGGTCACCATGGGTTGGAGATGATAAGACACCAGAGTGACAGGCAATGATAATTAGGGTCTGCGTTCCTCAAGAATAGGAAGTGGCTCACATTCAACCTAACATTCCTTGGGCTGAACCCAGGTTGGGCACGGTATGTGTGTGTTCGATGAATTAATATATCAATGTATCCTGAAAATGAGGAGCATTGAATTTTAGCTTTAAGGCTCTTTCCAATTCTCTTCTTGAAAAATCACGTCAACCTGGGTTAACAATAGCTATCCAAAAATAAGTGCATTTTGAAGACTAAACAGTACGTGTTGCACATATTCAGCTATACCAAATACATTGAGAGGACAAGCAGTGAGTTTACATTAAAGGACAAAGAAGCAGTTGTTTATCTCACATACACTTTCAGAATGGTTTGCTCATAAGAGACAGAAGAGCTACTTCAGTAATACTTTCAAGGATACGTCCATCAGAGGAGACATCACATGATTTTTAGTGACTGTCAGCTTTTTTGCCAACAAGATTTTTTTAAGGGAGCTACAAGGTCAATAGGTGAACAACATGCTAATTTTATCTGTTAAGAGTCTCACTAAAATGCATGAATTCTCTTGGCCTCAAGCATGCATTCAGGAGTTCATCTGATGCCTCAGTTGCATTAACATCCTTATGCACTCGCATCCTTATGCTTCCTAGGACAATGCTGCAGAATAGCAGGCATCCTGGCAGTAATTTCCAGAACCATAGTCTCTGCTAACAACAGGTGCTTTGATAAAGTTGAAATCTGCAAAGCTTTATAGGGCACATAAAAGTATTAAGCAAGTAAGAAAATAAATAATGGAGACAAGATTTGGTTGAAGGCAACATTTTGACTTTAAATTTTTGCATGTTTTTTAAAAAGTTTTAATTGTGGCAAAATATATTCCTTAAGCTGTAATGTATGATATTTTCATTTGTATTATTTCCAGGAAACGACTGCATTTCTATCTTGATTTCCATTTTGACTCAAAATGATTGAGCTGTGTGTGTATTTCAGGCGGGGGCTATCATAAGCTTATGTTTTCCAGTTAGTTGCAGTTAATTAAATAGAAATTAATTTCTAATTTTTTTAGTCATAAGAGAATAGAAGTCACATAGTTTCTCTTTTAGGAAGTTTCGTTAAAGTTCTTTGTGGCCTTCTGTTGGTGGTTCCAGGCTTCTGGGAGGAATCCAGTAACTGTCTTCTGGAAGCAAATCCATAGTTTAAAGAATTTTGAAGACAACTAGTACCATAGCTTGCATAGAAGCAGGATGGGATCCCTGACGGCAGATGCTCTCTTAGGTGCTGTGGCTCAGAAACTGCAGAGAGAATCCTGTGGCAAGAGGGGCTGCGGGGAAGAGTGAGGAAGAGAGGCAGCACGACAGTTTCTTAGCCATGCTAAGAGCTCAGGTCTGGCCAAAGAGGCTGATGAATATCTGATGTAGTTACGTAGAGGTTGTGTAGTCCTAGTTAGGAAAGGATGCTGCTAGAGAGCTGAAGGCCTTAAAAGCTGTGGCTGGAAGTTTCATTTTTCTCCAAATGGTAGTGGGAATCATGGTGGGTCTCCCGGTCACATAATCAGGACTGAAGAATATTTATTCCTTTTTAAATGGTCAACTTTTTTGAGTTGGAGAAAAAAGAATCCACACAGGTAAATGATAGTTTTTCCCTACAAATATGTTTTCATATTGCTAAGTGAATGTTATGGATTATCTGTTCTGCCCAAGTTTATTAATTATCACCAACAATGAACACTAAAATACATAGTTAGCCAATATGCCATACAGATGCAGTCATTCTTTCTTCCAGAGCCCATAAAGGATGGTGCTAAACAATCTCAGTAGCCTTTCTGGATGAGCTCAAGCTGAACCCCTGAATCCTTCTCAACAGTGTTCTAGGTAGCCACTGTCGATTGATCAGAATTGTCGTGCAAGATGACCCTGTTTTCCCAGCAGAGCCTTGAAACTAAAAAAGATACAACCCAAGACCTTTAAGGGCACCTGGGTGGGCTCAGTCAGTTAAGCGTCTACCTTCAGCTAAGGTCATGATCTCCGGGTCCTGGGATCGAGCCCCGTGTCAGGCTCCCTGCTCAGCGGAGAGTCTGCTTCTCCCTCTGCCCCTCCCCGGCCTGTGCTGTCTCTCACTCACTCTCTCTCTCAGTAAATAAATAAAATATTTTTTTAAAAAAAGGAATGCAACAACAGTTCCATGGTGCTCACCGTGGGCCAGGAACCACTTGACATACTTAAAAGGACTCATCTGATGCCTACAGCATCTGGTGAGGGAGGTGCTATGAGTGTTGTATTTTAGAGAAGAGGAACCAAGGCACAGAGAAGTCACACAATTAGTCGCACAGCAGGAATCCCAGCCAAACTGGACCCAGACTCCATGTTCTTAACCATGACCTAAGTACCCGTGACCTAAGACCGCCACCCCTCCATTACTGTTATTATTATATAACATATGATCATTTTGTAATAAAGTAGTACCATTATCATCTACTGGATCAGATCTTTCCAGAGTACTCACTGATCCCAGTAACAACCCTCTACTTGAGGCCCTAATTTCATTGTCCTTTTTCAGATGAGGTTCTGCGGCGCAGAGATTCAAAAACACGTTCTCATCACACAACTAACAAGTGGTGCAGCCAGGCCTCCAACCTGGGATTGTTGGTCTCCCAAACCTGGGCTTTAAAGCGTAATTTATCATTTTGTCACATCATGGGGTAGAAAGCAGCTGTGAGGAGCAAATTCTCAGCTGAGGAGGAAACTGTCCAGCAGCTGAATTCAGGGTGGCTTTATGGTTGTTTTATTATTTCTCACCGAGTTTAAAGTAACTCTCAAGAAGTGATCGACTTTGTTTCTTGGGGAAGATGGCCCTAGAAGAAGTTCTGTCAATGCAGATTTGGAAGAATCAATTGGATACTTCATTTACATGTGAATACACTTATAAGAAATATTCATGGAGTTGGGATTTTTAAAGGTCTTGGGTTACTTTCTTTTCAAAAAAATATTTTTATTCAGTTTTGAGAGAGAGCACACGCGCGAGCACAAGTTGGGGGAAGGGCAGAGGGAGAAGCAGACTCCCCGCAGGGAGCCCAACGCAAGGCTCAGTCCCAGGACCCCGAGATCATGACTTGAGCCAAAGCCAGACACTTAACCAACTGGGCCACCCAGGCGCCCCCGTTGTTGTGTTCCTAAATCCTTGCCGTCACGTGCGAAACCTTAAAGCTACCTGTGGTAATCCACGAATGTCAAGCATCTACTACACAGCTTTTCCCCCTATAGAGAATATGTGTTTACAAGACTAGAAAAGATTTATGTGTCTAAATGGCTAGAGGTGCTCTCTCTAATTTAGTCCTGACCAAGTAGCAGTCCTAGTGACACCCAGCCCCTTAGGTTACCCATTCATTAAGGTACAACACACCTGTTCTCTCAGGAGCACGTGCTCAGCTGTGCCCGTGGGAAGTCAGGCCACTTCTGGTTCCTCCTCAAGCGTCCAGGCTTCCCGTAACTGCTGCCTGCACAGCCCAGACCCCAGAACTGGGGACTCCTGCCAAGCCATCCCCAGATGCTGCATAAGGGAAGGCATGGGAAGCTGGGCTTAAAAATACTTTGTGATGATGTATACAGGATCTATTTGGCATTTATCATTATCAAACTGGCATTTATCATTCAGCTCACTTGGGATACTCCATTAATCACTAAGAACAGCAACTAACGTTTTACTCAAGGGGCAAAGAGATTACTTAGGAAAAGCTAATATACCTGTAGAGGTTGTTTACTAAAATATTGAGGTCCGTTTGAGGAGAATACCTTTAAGTTGCATTCCTTGTAACTCTCATTTTATTCTCAGTGTATGATTATCTTAGGACACAACTAACATTTACTAAATAAAATTAAACTCAGCTTTGGAGGTAGCAGCCCCTTGTAAGAATCTTGAATAGGGAATTAAAATTTTTCTATCTTTTAAAAAACCCATTATTTTACTCCTACATAAGAGCAAATAATGCTATGTACATTTCTGAGCATGTCTTCCCTAAGACACAGTTATTCTATTGATGGTGAAGAAATTTGCATAGTCCAGGATGTTTAAGACGATGCCCCAAAATCTGTGTTCCCAAAACAGTCACTCATAGAAAACATCATCTCTCAGATACTTCTTCCCCTTTTCATTTAAATCCTATACTTTATCAACATATAAAGTATGATCTGTACAATGAAAAATACATTAAATTCCAGTTAAAAATGTTGAGGTGACTCTTTGATATAGTCCTAGAAATGCATTTTTAGGTTTGAAATAGAAGCTGTTTTTTCCTTAGGGAGTCTGCTATGACTGCTCTAATAAATTACCACAAACTTAGTGGCTTTAAAATGACACAAATGTATTATCTTTACAGTTCTGGAGGTCAGAAGTCTATAGCGGTCTCATTGAGCTTAAATCAGAGTGTCCCCAGGGATCTATTTCATCTGGAGGTTCCAGCTTCTGGCATCTGCCCACATTCCTTGGCTTGCAGTTGCTTTCCATCTTCAAAGCCAGCAATGGCCGGTCAAGTCTGTCTCATTCTATCACTCTGTTTTGCCTCCCTCTTCCATGTTGAAAGACTCTGATTACATGGGGCCCATCCAGTTAATCCAGGATAATCTCTTTGTTTTCAGGTCAGCTGGTTAGAAATTTCAATGTCATCTGCAACCTCTATTTCCCCTTGCCATATAGCATAACCTATTCACAGGCTCCTGCTTACAACATGGACACCTTGGTTGGGGGGCATTATTCTACCTGTCACGGGGAGAAGAATAAGTTTTCAACACTCACCCTGTCCATTAGACAGCCTTATTAGTCAAATAGTCCAATAGTGAGTAGAGACTTCTGGTCTTTGCCAGTCACTGTCTGTTATACTTTGTCTTCTTGTGTTTGCTTAGCTTTCTCATTCCTAGTGAGGATGATAATACAGATTGTGTCTGGTCAAAACGGGACGAGTTAAAGTTTTACTGTGATTTGTTTCTAACAATGATTTTATCATGTCTCGTTCTAGGAAGAAAAAATGAAAATGCCTGTAAAGGAGCTCCTAAAACCTGTTCTTTACTAGATAAATTTCCTGAGACAACAGGATGCAGAAGAGGACAGGTACCAAGCATGTCTTCAATGATGGGAGGAACACAGTTCGTTATTAGGAATAAGGGAGTGCTGACCTTTATAAAGAAACTGTTATTTGGTCCAACGAAGGCGTCTTTTTTCACTCTCTCTTTAATGAAACATAATTTCATGTGGTTGGTGTCAGAATTGAGGGCGGGAAGTGTTCAGTGTTTATCGCTTGGTGGAAAATGAGAGTCCTTATCAAAGAAATAAGACGAGAATATAAATTCTAAGCCTTACAAAGGTTCAAATTCAAATTGACATAGTTTTATCCTGTAACTTTAATTTAGCACTTCCTCCACCCCTCGATAAATGGATGACCAGTTTGTTATATTTTCTGCACAGATCAAATATTCCATCATGCACCCAGGAACTCACGTGTGGCCACACACGGGGCCCACCAACTGCAGGCTCCGAATGCACCTGGGCTTGGTGATTCCCAAGGAAGGCTGCAAGATCCGATGTGCCAACGAGACCAAGTATGTCTCCTGCCATCATTGTGTCTCTTATCCCCTCTGAGGATGGGTGTTCATTACAACCAATCTATGTTCAGTTGGGTTATTTCTCTTCCTTTGTAATGGAAGTAGGCTGGGACGGGTGATACTAATCCATGCTCAAGCCTGTGTCCCTTCTTTGTTCTGTCTACTAGTCTGGAGACAGCCCTCCATTCTAGGGATGCCCTTCCTAATCATTTCTCCCCACACTAGTCTCATCTCATTGAAGAGCCTTCTCGATTTTCTTTCTAGATGGACAGACTTGCATTCAGAGTCGCCTGTGTTGTACCGAGCCCTACACATATTACACATTGTGCTTCTTGCTCTACGACTTGAGTGATTCATCAGTGCAAAGAGTCCCCCTTCCTCGAGAAAACACCCAGTGATAGTTCTGTGTTTTGCTCTGGAGGAGGCAGCGTGGTGCCACAGAAGCAGACTGCCTTTTTCAAATCCCAGCTCTGCCACCTAATCCTGTATAACCTTGGCCAGCTCCTTAATCCCCTCGAGCCTCAGCCTCCTTACTTGTAAAATTGGAACTGATGCTGTGTGCTTTGTAGGATTGTTATAGGATTAAATGAAAAAATGCACTCACGGCACTGAGCCCACATCCTAGCGGGAGTGGGACATGGTGAATGTTAGGACCTTCTCCCCATGCCTTTGGCTGTCCTAATCTGATTACTCCCTCCACCCAGAAGGCCCTTCTTTTCACCCATCCAAAATAAACCTATTACTAAGATCCAATGTCATTTCATAAAAAGGAACCTCTTTTCTGACTTAATAGAACGTATATAGTGTACGTTCTCAGTAATCCTATTCTTTATCTTCCATTGCTTTTTATCAATTAGCATATGTTAGCCTAATCTATGAGCTATAAGCTCCTGGAGGGCAGAAACCAAGTTGTTGTCTTCTTAGGCATTTGTCATGGTCCCCAGTAGAGGTCTGATGGAGAGGGCTGTTCCTGAGGACACAGAGTCATTCGTTTGGTTATTGGCAGAGACCTGCCCACCCTGGACATGGATGGTACAGCAGCACAAAGATTCAAAGTTGAATCCGATGGGGGCCTTCCCCTGCCAGACTTGCCTAATCGGGGACATGGCACAGGCTCAGATGTTGTGAGTCGTAAGAGAGGTAGAAATAAAAATGCTACAGATGGGTCAGTGGGCAAATAGCTCATTTGCTGCTGGGGTTTGAGAATCTTGACAGTGGTGATTTTTAAAGACAGGAAGGTTTGGAAATCCAACGCTGGGAGGAAAGGGGCATTGCCGGCTGAAAGGACAGGATCTGCAAGGGCACTGAAGCCAGAAATTATAGGGCACATGTGAAGAATATGGAGTGATTTCCACAACCAAGAGTGTAGGATACTGTCATGTAGGTAAACCGATGCACATTAAAATTTTCAAGAGTTTATTTGAGCGTACACCGATTCACGTCAGAGGGTGTCAACCCAAAGGTGGTTAGGAGCGTGCCAGGACAGGAGGTGGGGGCAGGGTTTCCGAAGAGAAGATGCCGAAGCGAAGCAAAGCCACTGTTTGACTGGCTATAGTGCAAGTGGCTGCCTTGTTTGGGGAAACCCAGTTGGCTATTTGTGATTGGTTGCTCTTCACCTTCACTTTCTCAGATTCAAGTGCATTGACTCTGGCTTAGGCTTTGGTTTGCTTACGTAGCCCTCCAAGACATTAGAGCCACCCCCTTGTCTAAAAACTTTAACAGCACATATAGAATAAAGGTTGGAAAATGAAAGAATGGAATAGAAGCCCAATCGTACAAGGCTTTGAATACCAACGAGTGGGATCAGAGCTTTGTCAGGAAGATATTCTGGAAGCCATGGGGAAAAGCTGTGGGGGAGGACAGGAAAAACAGTTAACAGCCTGTCAGAGCAGCCCACCCAAGAAGAGCTGGACTCGGGATGCTGGAAACAAAGGGAGAGTAACAAAGCAGGTTACTGAAGGAGACATGAAGATTGACTCAAGTGAATCCAAGTGTGGTGCAAGGGAGGGGAAGTTTAAGGTGACTTGGCGGTATCCATTTTGGTCAGTGGGAGGCTGTTGATGCTTTAGCAAATACTGAGATCTTGGGAGGTGTGAGGCAAGTTCAGGGAAATGGATAATGAGTTCCGTGTTTGTATATTTTTTATTTAAGTTGCTATTGGAACACAGTTGTGGAAATATCTAGAACGCGGCTAGATATAGATGCCTGGAGCTCAGGAGAGAAATCAAGTCTAGACATGAAGGTTCAAGGGGCAGACTTAGCAGGAGGTTCTGGAGGAAGCTTGAGACTCCGTAAAACACATCCACACTTATAAGGCAGAAAGACAAGGAACCAACAAGGAGATGGGGCCTCAGGGGGCAGAGTTGGTGGGACCAGGACGAGAATCAGAGATAGCTGAACAGGGAGAGAGGTTCCTCCCGAGATGGAATGGATTTTGTCAAGCCTTTGGGAACTCTGTTTGGGTCTGCAGAGTTTCCACCAAAGGGAAGAGGGCTGAGGACATGGTGGGGGACCCCAGGAATACAAAGAGAATGCTGGGGAACAAGACCAAATAACCACGGGCAGTGAAGACAGCAAGAGCACCAGGCCTGTTTCTTGAGTACTGCCTTATGGTTATAAACTTGTTGGTTGTTATCTCTGTCTCTGTCTCTGTCTCTCCTTCCCTCCCTCCCTCCCTCCTCCTTTCTATTTATTTTTTTTTAAATTTCCAATCTGTCCTGCTTATAGATACTTCGGGAAAAATCACTAGACAAAAAAGTCCACTGAGGAATCGGTAGAGAGAAGGACAGGCATGCACTGATCCTAGTCATCAGAGGCCCTGAGGCAATGAGGAACCCAGGCTGAAGGGACGGATATGGCAGCGAGGAAGGGGAGTGGGTGGACAGTGCCAGAGGCTTAAACAAGGAGCCAAGCGGGGCTCTCACCGCGAAAGTGACGCCGGGAGAGGTGTCCCAGAGCATGGGTGCAGTGCGCCGCCCCCCCCCCCCAGGCTCCCAGCAAACACCCGGTGACCATGCTTGACGAAGGAGGGGACTGCCAACCCCTCCCCTCAAGTCGAAAGCGTGATTAAGTGAACTGTCTTCACCTACCTGAAGTAGCCCCAGTCCTGCACTCAGTGGAAGGTGAGCTTGAGCAAGAAGGTTAACTCAGCAAACCCTCCGTTTCCACTGTGCTAAAATATAACCTACTCCACGTGACAGGAAGTTCCTGTTGATAACAACTTGCAGGTGGTGTATTTTTCGGTATTTATTAAAAAGACCTTTGCACCCACCTACCAAGGGTTGGGCCAGGATGGCAGTTTTGCCGAGGATGAAAAGCTTCTGGTTCTCTCGGCCCTGGAGGGCCCATAGGCATCAGTGCCTTTCCACCTCATCATGATGGTTGGTCAACACTCTTCTCTTGTACTGTATATTGTGTTACATTCTCATCCTCAATAAGCCTTCAGTCAGGGGTCATTGGGTCAGGTGAAGGACTTCATTACAAAAATAGTGTTTTTCCAAAGAGACATGGGTCCGTTAAAGAACTGTGTAATGCTTATTACAGTGAAAAGCTAGATATCTGAAGAGGAGACAGGCGGTTCCTAAACTCGGAAGACAGAAAGACCGTAATAGGAAACCTGGAAGTTTCACGCTGTTATTTGTAGAAATACTATTAGTGTGGAAAGAGAAACACATATACCAAGAAATCAGGCTTCCTTGTGCTAGGCAACAGGAAGCAATTTTCAGAGCCTCTCAACTTCCAAAGGAGTAGTTTACTTGTAACAATTTGTGCACTCGAGTTCTCAGGTATTAATAATCACATCGCTGTTTCTCCGGGGCTACTTCTCCTGCTAACGTGCATGTTGTTTAAATATTCCATCCCTGCGAAACGTAGCACAGCAATTTTTATCTGAAGATGAGCTTGCAGAGAGGCAGCCTTTTATCAGGATAAATAAAATGATCATTTAAAATTCATAAATGCCCTCTGACTATAAAACTGATGCATAATGCACATTCCTTGTACATAATTTGTAAAACACAGAGAAGCACAACAGAAAAAAGTATTTTTTTGATCTTGATACTCAGAGATCTTGCCCAGATGCTTCTCAATACCTGCCTGTGTATATTCGTGAGGAGGAACACAGGAATGATAAATAGCGTGCTTGCTGTGCAAAGCAGCTCTGAGGATGCCATTAATTTATCAGTCCTCACAACAGTCCTAAGGGGTTATTAAAATTTCTGCTTTACAGCTGGGGAGACTGAGGCATAAAGACGCCAAGTAATTTCCCCAGGGTCATTCAGCTTAGTAAGCGCTGATGTTTGTGTGAGTTTCCTACGGCTGCTGTACCAAATTGCTGCAACCTGGGTGACTTAAAACAACAGAAATGCATTCTCTCATAGTTCTGGAGTCCAGAAGTCTGAAGTCAGCTATCAGGAGGGTTGGTTTCTTCCAGAGGTTCTGAGGGAGAATCTGTGCCCTGCCTCTCTCCTGGCTTCTGGTAGCTGCTGGCCATCTTTGGTGTTTCTTGGCTTGTAGACATCGCTCCAGTCTCTGTCTCTGCCAGCACATCACCTTCCCCCCTGTGTCTTCTCCCCTTCTCTCTCTGTCTTTTAAAGATTTTATTTATTTGAGGGAGGGGGGAGGGGCAGAGGAAGAAGGAGGGAGAGAATCTCAAGCAGACTCCCTGCTGAGCGTGACGCAGGGCGTGATCCCATGACCCTGAGATCACTACTTGAGCCGAAATCAAGAGTCGGATTCCCAACTGACCGAGCCACATGGGCACTCCTCCCCTTCTCTTTCATAAAGGTACTTATCATTGGATTTAGAGCCCAGCCTAATTCAGGATGGTCTCATCTCAGGATCTTTAACTTCATTACAACTCCAAAGACGCTTTTTCCAAATAAGGATACATTCACAGTTTCCAGGTGGACATACTTTTTGGGGGGAGGTCACCATTCAACCCACTACAATACTGGAACCAAGGTTTGGTGCCAGGCCGTCCGGCTTGAAAGTATGTG